GTGCATAACCCTAAATCCTAAACCCTAGACCCTAAACCCTAGACCCTAAACCCTAATAATCCTAGACTCTAAGCCCTAAACCCTAATAATCCTAAACCCTAAACCCTAAATCCTAAACCCTAGACACGAAACCCTAAACCCATATGAGCTGCGAGGAGCTTTGAAGAGGATTCAACTCTTGAACATCCCCGAGCCTCAACCATGAGCCCTGAACGACTCCGACAACCTTGGGGATCGATCTGGATATTCGCCAGACAGGTTCAGAACACTCATCCTAGACCCCGGAGTGCTCAAGTTTCAAGTCTGCCAACCCCAGCACCGCTGCATGAAATTATGTCAGTTTTGACGCTGAACCTGCCACCCGAAGGCAAAATCTACACCTGAAGCCCCAAACCGCCTCGAATTGCCAAACGACCCCACGCCCGAAACTACTTAGTTCTGAACCCTAAACCAAAAGGCTCTGAACCCCGAAACAAGAAAGTACTGAACCATCTTAAACCTTCCTCGACTCTCAACCCACTCACTGCAGCCCCCATGCACCCTAAACCCTAAACCCTAAACCCTAAACCCTAAACCCTAAACCCTAAACGTACCGGAGGGACAAGGGGCCCGGTGGACTGTCGTCACAGGCGTCACGTTTTCGACGCCTGCGAGCTTTTATGGCTTTGGGACGGCGGCAATGAGGCCTATCGGGTTTAGGGTTTAGGGTTTAGGGTTTAGGGTTTAGGATATACATATATATATATATATATACATACATATAAGACGTCTATCATGGTGGAAAATGTGGTGTGTGGGCCTGAGACCATTCTCCGCGAAGCATCAGTAGCTCTTCATCGAAATTACAGGAAGCTGCTCCAAACTGGAAAGCACCAGACTCCCTCCCCATTCCGTGTAGCTTTTTGTGCGCACCTGAATGCACAATGGCAATAGCAACTTTCTGCACGACTGGTTTTTTGTTGTAACTGAACAAGAACACAGCCAGTGGTGGTGCTGAAACTAGTACAGGAAACACAAGAGATGCAAGGACTATCAAGGATGACGTCTACATATTAACATGCATGGATGCAGGGATGCATGGATGCAGGGGTGGATGGATGGATGGATGGCTGCGCGCGAGTATGGATGGATTTACGTGCGCATGTATGGATATCCGGATTTACAGGTGGACGCATACATGGAGGGGGGAGGGAGAGAGGAAGGGAGGGAGGGGGTGATATACGTGTGTTTGTGTGTGTGTGTGTTGTGTGTGTATGTGTGCGCAAGAGCTTTGAAGCAACCGGGCCGGGCCTTCACCGGGATTCTGGTCCCTGACAAGGCTGTGAAAGGACTTAACTTCGGCTTCACCCTACATTTGTTGATTTTATCGACTGTAGGCGTTGCAAGGCGTTACAGTTTGGGCAGGATTTATGGAGCTTGGTACCGCATTGTAGGCCTTGCGGCATGCGGATGTAGTTTCACCCACGTGGTTTAAAAACATTCATAATGCGCGAACCCCTAATGGACACTGCGTCCTCAAGATTCCCGACTGCAAATCCTACAACGCGTCACCTGAAGCTGCACAAACTATATCCCCGAAGCGATGAGGGAGGGATCGAAGGGCAACACTACTCCATGGGAAGCATGCTTGGTAGCCACCAAACCCAAAAGCTTAGCGCAAGCAGTCCGACTTCAAAAGCACGCTTGAAGTATGGGGCCTGTCCTAAACCCCTAAACCCTAAATCCCTAAACCCTAAACCTTATAGCACGCTTGAAGTATGGGGCCTGTCCATGTCGTAGATGGAAAGGCTGAACGACTTGAGTATCAGCGGTTTGCCGGTCAAGTCGGTGAATCCTAGGCTGTTTGCTGGCTGACTCCTCTGCAAAACCCATCAGTCTGGGGCCCTAAACAAGGTAGTATATAATCATGAAGAAAAGAAGGATTCTAACAGCGAGTATTCCGCAATGCTTGCCGGTTTAAAAACCTTCGACCTCGACCCTATACCCTATACCCTAAACCCTAAACCCTAAACCCTATAAACCCTAAACCCACACTCTAGCCAATGATGTTGCCTCCCATATCCTCCCCAATTGTCGCGCATGGATCTACCGCCAGTCGATCTCATGGATTTTGTTGTGACTGGCCATTTGTGTGCACCATTCAACCCCGACCAACACAGCAAAGACGATTCGTCTTGTGACGCTGATGCCTATGGAAATGTTCGGATGTGCTAAACAAAAAGTATTTACGCTAAAAATAGGAATAAAATAGGAATCATTATGTTTTCATAAATAGGAACCGGTTAGTAAAAACTAGTAAATAATTAATAAAAGAAAATAGGCTCCAAAAATACGTCAAAAATAACAAACAATAAGAACATAATAGGAAAATCATAGAAAATAGGTTTCCTATTGTTTTCCTACGTTTTCCGATTTTTCTTTATTTTTCCTAGCAAAATAGGAAAAATAGGAACATAGGAAAAATAGGGAAAAAGTACGAACAATTTGAAAATAATAGGAAACTCTTATTTTCAATTATTTTCCTATTATTTTACTATTTTCCCCTACTTTTTCCTATTTTTGTAGGAAAAATAGGAAAAAATAGGAAATCCTGCTTTGGCAGCAGATAGCAGGAAAATAGTTCCTATTTTTTTTCCTATTTTTGTTTCCTATTCTTTTTCTATCTATTTACTATTTTTTGGATACCAATTCCTATTTTTCCGCCACTCGGATCCTATTTATTTTTTGTATCCCTATTTTGGTTTCCTATTTTGTTCCTATTTCGGGCGTATTTAATTTATGTTGAACTCTGCCAACCTTTCCATCTCATCAGCGTCACAAGATTCGTCATGACTAGTGACTGCCACTCGCAACTGCATTGGGTACCGTACGACATCGAGAACAGACCAAGTGCGCAGGAGGCCTTGCAACAAAGAACGTGAAGTTAGGCCGAACCCTAAACCCACGCACCCCGCAGTTTTACTTACGATCCAAATTCATAACCTGCAAAGCCTGAGCATATTGCGCTGAGTTTGCCCACCTTGTGTAATTTGCCAAATGCATGTGTCTTATTGTACCAAATACGCTTAGTAAACTGTCGACTATGTTCAGAAAGCACATTTCCAAATATATGTCCAAAGTACGAACACACTATCCGGTAGCCTCCGAATCCACTGTTGTTTCACATGCGTAACCGGTTCCAGACTCCAGATGCCTGCGTCAATTTGCATGCATGAGCGGCTGAGTCCTTGAGTCTGGAGCCTGATTTGGAAGATGGCAGATGGGATGCCCGGGATGCCTTCTCAAATTAAAACTGCTAAATCCGAAACCCTTAACCCCAAGAACCCTAACCCTAAACCCCGGAAACCCTAAACCCAAAAACCCTAAACCCCGAAAACCCTAAACCCCGGAAACCCTAAACCCCGAAAACCCTAAACCCCGGAAACCCTAAACCCAGGAAACCCTACACCCCAGAAGCCCCAAACCCGAAAACCCTAAACCCCGAAACCCTACACCCCAGAAGCCAAAAACCCTAAACCCCGGACACCCCAAACCCGAAAAACCTAAACCCCGGACACCCCAAACCCGAAAAACCTAAACCCCCAAATCCCCGCAGCTCAGTCTCTGAAGGTCACATCCAAAGCATGCCCCGAGAGCCTCGGCTCGGGGTTTCCGAAGCAGTTCTTTCAAAGGGGCACTTAGGGTTAAGGCTTTCGGGTTTAGGGTTTAGGGTTTAGGGTTAAGGCTTTCGGGTTTAGCCCTTTAGAAGGGGCACGATAGGGTCCCCTTATACTTTCGGGTTCTATGATAGGGTCCGCTTATAGGGGGTACTTTAGGGTTCTATGATAGGGTCCCCTTTAAGGGGTACTTAAGGGTTCTATGATAGGGTTCCCCTGAGGCTTTCTTCAAGGGCTTGTTGAGGGATCCATAGGGGTTTCGGGTTTGGGGTACCGTTTTAGGGCCCCCAATATGATTTCTGTGTACACAACGCCTTGAAAAGGTGGTTTTTCTAGGGGTCCAGGTCAGGCTTGGTGCTTTAGACTTGGGGTTTAGGGCTTAGGTTTTAAAAAGCCCTGAACCCTAAACTCTGACTAGTTCTATGAAAACCCTAAACCCAAAACCCGTTTTTTGTGGGGGGGCTGCTTACGGTTTAGGGCTGAGGGCCTTTTAGGGTTGAGGACCTCGGGCTTGCAGCTTTAGGGTTTGGGGTTTTGGGGTTTTAGGGTTTAGGGTTTTACTGTTTAGGGGTTTCGGGCCCCGGATAAGTCTCCGTTGGCTTGGGTTTTTGAACTGCGGGCTTCTACAATAGTGGGCCCTATACGGTGTTGTGTGTCGGGGTTCTAGGATTCTTTATCTGTGGTTTCTGAAACTGTTTCCTGAAGTTGCTTGTCTCTGGGGTTCTTATTGTGGGTGAAAGGAAAAAGGATTCTAACGAGTTATAGCAGGTTTATGAAGGCTGAAACGGCTTTAGGGGCTCTGGGTCCAGGGTGCTGGGTCATGGGGGTCAGGTTAATGCGTTGTGAATTTAGGCTTAAGCTTGAGGCTTTGGGATTTCAACTTTAGGGTTCCTACTTACTAGCGCTGTTTCTCCTGAAGAGGATAAGGTTTAGGGTTTAGGGTTTAGGGTTTAGGGTTTAGGGTTTAGGGTTTAGGGTTTAGGGTTTAGGAGCTGAAAGGTCTCCGGGTGGGCAGAGAGGATGGGTAATGCGGCAGGTCCAAGGCACTGGTTGAAAACGCCGAAGCGGCCGTTCAGGCCATTGGCGAAAACATTCCAGGGGTTGTAGAGCGAATCCTGCAGGCGTAAAAAAAAGCCATATCACGGCTAATACAGTCCTGTTTTTTAGGGTCGATAGGACGACTTCCCCCCATTGTGAACACATCCTAAACCCTAACCCTAAACCCTAAGCCCAGGTCGTGTCTCTTACGTCGTTGCTTTACGCCAGCGGTGGTGGCGTAGCGTCTGCCATGCCAGTCTCGGCTGAGAAAGGCACAGTCGACTATATGGAATATGCATTGCTCTCACTATAAAGATATATCTATCTATCTATCTATCTATCTATCTTTCCATCTTTCTATCGGTCCATCGATCTATCCATCTATCCAAAAACAGATGCGACTGGTCCTCACTCAGTGTAACATGTCGATCTATCCATCCATCTATCTACCTACCTACCTACCTACCTACCTACCTACCTAGCTACCTACCTACCTACCTACCTACCTACCTACCTACCTACCTACCTACCTACCTACCTACCCAACTAATACCTATATATATATATATGTATGTACAAGGACCCACAGTTTGCACTTTAGCTTATCAACTGCTCTTGACTCTTGACTCGCGAATCCCCAAATCCACACACCCTGGACACTCGTGCGCATAATAGGTAGTTCTATAAATAATGGTCCCTTTCTGGGTTCCCCGCGGTTGATGAGGCCAATGGTTGTGCCCCACTTATCAAAAGGACCCTAAAAGGGACCCTAATTTAGAGAACTACCCACATAGAACTCTTAATATACCTTTATAGAAACCCTTGTAGATCCCTTTGCAGGAACCCTGAAAGGAACCCTCATTTAGAGAACTACCCATGTAGAACTCTTAGAGAAACCCTGGAACCCAAAAACAAATGTAGAACTCTTATAACACCCTTATAGAAACCCTTATAGAAACCCCGGAACCTTAAAAACCCATATAGATCTCTTATAATACCCTTATAGAACCTCTATAGAAACCCTTATAGATCCCTTTAAAGGAACCCCCAAAAAAAACACCCACATTCACAGCTCCAGGCGGCTCGGGCTGTGAAGGCCTCATGGGTACTTGGGAGGATCATAAGACTTAGTAGGTAAGGTTCCTTACAGGGCGCCGTAAAAGGGATCCCTGGGGTTTAGGGTTTAGGGTTTGGGGTCTACTTGGGAGGATCAGGGGCTTAGTAGGCAAGGTTTTTATGCACCTGAAATGGAATCATCAGGAATTATAGTTGCAGCCACAATATCTGTAAGTCCCACTATCCGCCAAACATGCTGGTGAGTTTTCTACAACCTCCCGGGCCCATCTGGGCATCTCCATGGCTTAGGGTTTAGGGTGTTGGGGCTTTGGGGTTTGGGGGTTTAGGGTTTTGGGGGCTTTGGGCTTGGGGGTTTTGAGGTTAGGGTTTAGGGGTTGAGGGCTTAGGGACATCACGATGGTGAGAATGTTGATCTCTAGGCACTGTCTCTCTACTGTCTATTGGCACTCGCTCGGGCACTGGAAAAACACGAAGCCCTCTCGACATTTGCAATGCCGCGGGCTCTCATGCAGGAATTCGGGCAGCGCACGCCCAATCCAGGAGATGGGGGGGGTCCAGGCCGCCGAAAATTGTTTTTGAAACCAACAGGGACCCCTAAACCCTAAACTAAAAACCCGGAACATCTTCATAAGTGCACCTAACAAACCGAGCCCTCGCGTCCGTGTGGAGATGGACTTGCACGTCACGGTGCATGTTCCGGTAGTACTCCACAGCCTCTGGCATCTTCGAGAGCTTGATGATAATTAATGTAAAGGCCTTCATAATTAGAATAGGGCTTTGGGGTACACCCAAAAAAACAAATATTACTGTTTATGATATAAACCGTGCATTCCCTTAAGCACACTAAACTATGGGAATTATGGTATATTCCTTATTTATGGGTATTGCAGGATTTATATCACCAACCGTAGTATAGGAAATTAATAAGGTCCCTATATTTTTATTATTGCAGTGAAGGTTTCCAGTCCCGGTATTAACATCATGAACCGAAACTGCGAATCTAGAGCCCGAGGTGACGAGCTTAGCGTCCAATCCATAGCTTTGAGGCATTTCCCCGTGTTGCTCTTACGGCATCATGGAGGAAAGGACGGCTCGACGTTCACTTGGATTTCAAAACCCTATAGCCTTAATGTACCTTAAGAGTACAGACATCTATCTAGTAGGTCAATGGGCTATGGCTACTACAAGGCAAACAACGGTTCTAGATACAGTGCCCGACAATATCAGCATTTGCAGAGTCGTTGAACCTATTTCAGAAACCTCTAAACCCTAAAGTGCCCTGAAACCCTAAAACCCTAAACCCTAACCCCCCCCACAAAAAAAAAAAAAAACAAAAAAAAACAACAAAAACTAAAACTTGAGCTCATGAATCCCTGCCTTGTAGAGGATGCCCTCGGAACCCTGGTGCCTTGAATGTAAAGAAGCAGATGGAGAACTACTGTAGAAAGCTGAATAATGTTTAGGGTTTCAGGGTTTAGGGTTTTAGGGTTTTAGGGTTTAGGGGTATAGGGTTCAGGGCTTAGGGGTATATGATACTATAACTAGAATAGGGAAACCCACCAAACGAGCATTGGTAATTTATTTGGCTCCTGAAGTAGTGTTTGCGGGTTGGGGTTGGGGATTTGGGAATTTGATTGAGATTTCCTTTCCTACTTGTCCAGCCTCCTGGGGAATTGGCGGTTCACCTTTGGGGGTAGACTGGGATTCTATAGGGATTATGGTACCAAAAAAGGTTACAAGCTGCCTACTGTACTACAGGTCTTTTCTGCTAAGAGGAGGAAAGCTTTGGAGCGGTTGGGTTGGTGCTTTAGGCGTCGAGGTTCAGCTGTGCTACATATAGGAACCTGTTTAAGAAGCTCCTGGATCTTTCTTAGGGGTCTTTCGTATGAACCTAAATCTATTCGGGGTTATCGGGCCCGGGTTCTTAATCAGGTTCCTACATTACATATGAGGATATCTTGAATGTTCAGGATTCTGGTGGCAGCGGTCGTGGTGCCCCAAGGGTTCTGGCCTGGGTGTGGAGGTCAACCGAGCATGCACAGAGTCGCCTCTTCTTGGAGGACTATGGGACTTAGTAAGTAATTGGGTTATAGGTAGCTTAGTTGGAGTTATGAATACGTATAGGAATAGTTACCATCAACGCACTTGCTAAGTCCCATGATCCTCCACGAACTCTCCGATTTCCGGCGATCACCCAGCATCAACAAAACAGTCTCGGTCTTTATACAGAGGTCCCCTCTAGTGTAGTATAGTATCATACAGTACAGTACAGTATATAGTATGGTATGGTATAGTTTAGTCTAGTTGGGTATAGCCTGTATCTGCCTCATTAAGTCACGAAAGACCTCGGGGGAGCGAAGACCCTAAACCCTAAACCCTAAACCCTAAAACCCTAAACCCTAAACCCTAAACTCTGCCGAATGAGCCATGGTGCGGACCTTTGTGGCCCAGGTTGTTGTGAAGGACTTCCTCCATCCTGGGGAGCCGGAAATGGGGCTTGGGTTTAGGGTTTAGGGTTTAGGGTTTAGGGTTTAGGGTTTAGGGTTTAGGGTTTAGGGTTTAAGGTTTAGGGTTTAGGGTTTAAAGGGTTTAAGGTTTAGGGTTTAGGGTTTAGGAACAGCTGTAGCAAGCATGCACTTCGACTTCTCTTCGGCTTTTTGGTTCTGGGTGGAGAGGGCTATACAGCCTGTTGGGCATATGGTTCAGATTTAGGGTTTAGGATGTGGTTCCCCTTGGCTGTAGTTTGCAACGTGTGGCTAAATGTCTGTTTGTTTCGGAAGTCCCGACTCTTCTGTTGCAGCCCGGAGTGCATCATGTACGGCTCATCACCGCAATCGAAAGGACCATCGCTGTTGGTCAGTGCTGCCATTCCAGATCGACAGACCTGACAGCACACATGAGCACACATGGGCCGCGCCAAAAGTAATGTAGGGGCCTTAATGATTATAATAGGCCTTTGGGGTATAATATACTACAAGTCTAATGAGGAACACCCCCCAGAGAGCGTATATTAGTTCGACAGCCGCGAAATGCTTCTGGATGCACGAAAGCTCATCAGGTTCTTCTTCTATCTGTACCCTCAACATATTGGGATCTGTATAAAAAAACTCAAACAACGACCGAAGGTTCATAATCAGGTTCCTTTTGTATCGGCTAGAGATGAGGATCCTCGTCCATGAAGCTGCCAGAAAGTTCAACAGTGATAGCGATGACAGTGCTGAGTGGTTTCGCTTTTGCCAGTGTCACAATGATGGTTCGTGCTAACCGTTCTCAGCATTAGTTCGAGTATGCATACGGCTATGGTGATCATGGTCGAATTAACAAGTATGGTGTTGGTTGTCATCAAGTCATCATATTGGTAGTTCTCTAAACTAGGGTCCCTTTTCGGGTCCCCACCTAGATAAACAGGACCCTAAAGGGGACCCTAATGTAGAAGACTTTCCAGAGACGTTGCGGCAAAGAACAACGGCAAATCGGCGGATGGAGTGGCTCGACAGACCAGGCGGTCATCGATGGATTCTCGACAGTTCCGATAGGGTGATAAGGTTTAGGGGTCTAGGGGCTAGGGCTTTGGGGTTTAGCGGTTAACGGTTTAGGGGTTTAGGGTTGTTGCCGGCTCAACCAGCTGTCTACAGTGTGAATGCGCATGCCGGCGTCACTCTCCGTCTCTGAGCCGCGAGCAAGGATAAATTCCTTTCGCAGGCTGGCTGGAACACGCCGTCATGCAACAAGTCCCATTCAGGCACGCAAGCCTGACTCCAAAGCCCCAAACTTCGAGTCATCTAGATCTCTCTCCTCCCTCTCCCCACTGAGCTCACGGCTATCAACACCACGAACTTCCAGCACAGCATGGTCCCAGAAGCAGAAAGCGCATGTGCTTGTGCCATGCGCAACATGGCAAGACTTGCAGAACCCCGAAATCCGTCCCTAAGGCTCAAAATAGCCTCAAAGCCTTAACTACTATGGTCTTTGGTCACAAAAACCCTAGACCCTTAACCGT